CTATTTTTTTCTGTCTCTGTCTGTCTGTCTCTCCATCCCTCTGTCTGTCTGTCTCTCCATCCCTCTTTCCCCTCCCCCTTCTCTCTCCCTCTCTCTTTCTCCCCCCCCCCCACCTTCTCTCCCTCTCTCTCTCTCTCCCTCTCCCTCTCTCTCTCTCTCTCTCTCTCTCTCTCTCTCTCTCTCTCTCTCTCTCTCTCTCTCTCTCTCTCTCTCTCTCTCTCTCTCTCACACACACACACAAACACACACACACTCACACACTGCCTGCAGACAAAATTGCACGCTTTCAACTCAAGAGCGCTGTCCAGAACGTTTGTTTACACTCGTATTATTATCATGGGCTGTCACGCGCTAACACAAGGTTGTTCCCAAGTCTCGCCTGGACGTGAGATATAGGGCAATTGAAACATCTTGGTAGGCGTATACATTTTTGTCATACATTACATCATAATGCGTTGTTGCGTAATTGAGAGCTCAGAGCTCAGTGTAAGGGAAAACGACGAATGGTTGATCAGTCAAGGATCTCTTCTTAGATTCGTTTCCCTTCATATCTCTTGGGATGGAACGCTTGAAGCCGGCAAAAATATTAAATATACGTCACTGTCGTCACTGAGTAAAACTGGCTTACTTAAACTGACAGTGGACGCTCTGTCTAAACGAAGCTGAGTGCGGTGAGCGTAGCCTCAACAGCGCCTGCAAACTGCATTCACGGCGCCGTGAACGTAGCTACTGCGTTTGCTGTTTGGTTGCATCCATGTTCTTTGTATAGTCTATTTGGTCATCAAGACTTCCGGATTTCTTCTCTGGATGTAAACAAATGGATCGTGGATATAAACGAACAGAACTGCAAGATCACCGATTCTTACTCTGTCTGGATTTATTATAGTTATAATATAGCTACCATCTAGGTTTAGTCTAGACTCTAGACAAGTCAAAGCTGCTAGATCTATAATCTAGATTTCTGGATCTACAATCTAGATCTAGTTGTAGTTGTAGCTTGGAAGTATATCAATCAATAGGCCTATAGATTCAAGCAGGATTTCATCATGCCTGCAAAAAGTATTTATATGAAGAATAAGTACACACATGCGACTTAACGTAGAACGACGCAAACTATTTTTAGGTAAGGCAGCCATCTTGCGTGACTTAAGACGCGATACCCCTCCGATCATGTGACTACATGATCTAAACATAGCCAACCGCATGACACCAAAGATCGTGTATACTACCTACCATGGCACGTTAAGTGCGATGCTTTTCCAGGAGACGTAGCGGTAATGTAATATGATGCAGTGCTCCGATGCTGCCGCCGCTTATCTCTTCTGCGCATTGTTTATCAGGCGGGGGGAGGGGTAATCTCCGGGCGTCTTTACTTTACGGCAATTTTAGCGTGCTTTATTGTCTTTGCGTTTGCCGTGTTTCAATTTCAAGCTTCAGCGTTTTTACTGTTCTGAGCTACAACGATCTAAGTAATCTTCCATCCCCAGAGCATGACTGACGTGCTGAAGTTAGCTGCAAGTGTAATATTTTATTGTGCGAAACACATCGATACGGATAATAGGTCAAGCCACTGACCCAACATGTCGTTCCATGCGATATCTCCAAAGATCGTGTAGTGTAGTAGAGAACTAAAAGTAGTCTATGGGTATCCCAGGATGTGATGACATCACTTTACTAAAATAAGCAGCCAATCGGGCAGGTGCGTCGTTCTACGCTTAGCCGCATATATGTAAAAAATATTGCTCTGCCCACTGACCCCTTTTGGTTATCACCATCCTATTTAACTTAGTTAGTGCGAATGTCAAATGTCAATAGATCGACTATGAACTTGATGGGATGAGAAAGGAAGTGCACGTGAGTGTGTAGGTTTATAGGCCTACTGATTTTTTAAGAATCAAATAGATTTATATAAAGTTAAAGTGAAATGAAATGAAATGTAACATTTTAAAATTTATGACATGAATTAGAATGAATGATTTATAGATCTAGATCTATGAAAAAAAAAATATGAATGAAAATAGTGTAGTTGTAGGCCTTTCACCTAGAGGGCAAATCTTCTGGCTATCCTCACTTGCTGTGCGCTCATTGCTTAGTGCATCGGCTCAGGTCGATCTCTCCGGGTGAAAGGGTGAGCCTTTTGGCTTTCTCACCCGGTGTGCGTTCACCGTGATATCAGTATAAACAAACGTTCCAGCGCTCTTATGTTGAAAGTGTGCAGTTTTGTCCGTGGGCAGTGAGAGAGAGGGGGGAGGGGGAGAAAGAAGAGGGAGACAGAGAAAGAGGAATAGCGAGAACTTTCTGGCAAAAGAAAATGGTGACCAGCGTCGTTTGGCTCAATTTGAAAAGTGATATATAGCCGTAGCATCTTTGTAGACAACTGAATTAGAATCTAATTTACTTGTGTGCTCTATTACATTATTTTTGTCTTTGTTTTTGTTAATTTGATCATCCACACCGATAGACAGTATTCAGAAATCTTGAAAAACGGGTTTTTGAGAATAGCCAACGCTGGCAAATCTCACCCGCGGTGAGAGGTCGATCGTATTTTTATTCTCTCTCGGGGTGAGAATAACTACTTCCTTATTTTATGGCCTACAGACCTCGATATTACAAATATTCCACTCCTAGGTTTGCAAAGTGCAAAGTGCAACAAAGTAAATATTGATGATACTCGAAATATTTGCACCACTTATGACTTGTACCCTCCTATCCTCAACATGAATGGCCTCTTCTCAGGGTGGGCAGACAGTCCACAGACACCCCAGTCCACAATGCCATGACTTGTACTCATATTTTGAGGCAAATTTTTTCCTGGCTGATAAAACGAATACACTTAACACGAGCATGAACTGTTTCTGTTTTCATCTCGACATAACAGCCTCTTATCTACTGCACACTCACACTCTCTGTCAATGTCATGACCTAAGTTTCTTGTCAGAGAAGTGCACATGACATCTCAGGTTTTTGTACAGTTTTGACCAAGTGTGAGATAACACTCCTTGATGCATAGGGCTGTTTGCAGAAATCATGGGACTGTCACTTTTGTAGATAAACTAAGGGTATGTTTTATAGGGTTGGGTTTGGGAGCTGTACTAGATTTTAAAGTCTGTCTAGGAAGTGGGACATTGTGAAGTGAATGTTTTATTTTGTGCATGCATAATTTGACTAAGGATACTTGTCTGGAGCACTAAATTGCCTTTTTCATTTCACATGTAAGTAAACTCAATAAATAAAAGTAAAACTGAGAAAGTGAAAGGGAGGGAAGCACACTTCTGATCTAGGGGACAAAAAGAGAAAGAGATAGATAGAGATATAGGCAGACAGAGAGAGGAAGAGAATATAGGCAGATAGACACAGAGAGAGATAGAGAAATAGAGAGAGAGAAAAAAATGTTCTAGACAGACTGACAGAGAAAGTTCAAAAAAAGATTCCAGCTCTTGAGAAAGAGAGCTATACAGACAGAGAGAGAAAGACAGGTGTCCCAGTTTATCGATATGGCTGTCTACCCTAAGTCCTGCCCAACTGACCACGGTCTGCCGAGATCTAGGTGGTCTGCCGTAAGTTCTGCCTAATTGGCCACAGTAACGGAAGTATAGGGAGCAATTAAAACAAAAAGGTGATACCGTTAACTATTGCGGTGTGTGTGGGAGGGTGGATTGCTTCATTTTGAGATGTTGTTTCGAACGAAGGAGTTTGCAGAGGTAAAGGTTATGTTGGGCAAGTAAGTCAAGACAGCAAGTGACCAGACTGAAGTATTTTCAAGAACTAACCCCCCCCCACACACACACACAACAAACTACAAATACCGAAACTTTTTAAATTCAACCAGTGACAGTCCCAAGTCTGTATAAACACAGATAGAAAATGTTAACTGATCCACCTTGTAACAAGTCTCAAGCCTGTGTAAACTGGTAGTCCGCCAAGTAGAACAGTTGTCAGTCAGACCAGGACAGTGGTAAACTGTCAAGTAGGCTAGAAACATCGTAGTAGACTGTCTTCCAAATGAGATGTCAGACTGTCAAGTAAACCAGAAACATGTCAGTAAACTGTCTACTAAATGAGATGTCAGACTGTCAAATAAACCAGAAACATCATTGTAAACTGTCTACTAAATGGGATGTCAGACTGGTCCGATGGTAGACTGTCAATTAAACCAGAAACATCGCAGTAAACTGTCTACTAAATGAGATGTCAGACTGTCAAGTAAACCAGAAACATATCAGTAAACTTTCTACTAAATGAGATGTCAGACTGTCAAATAAACCAGAAACATCGTTGTAAACTGTCTACTAAATGAGATGTCAGACTGGTCCGATGGTAGACTGTCAAGTAAACCAGATACATCGCAGTAAACTGTCTACTAAATGAGATGTCAGACTTGTCTGATGGTAGATTGTCAAGTAAACCAGAAACATTGCGGTAGACTGTCACCTAAACAGGCACTAAAAGAGATGTGTACAACGAGAAATAGATACAGGCAGACAAAGAGAGTGGTTTGTTTTATTGAACATGTGAATAACCAGAAATTGTAAGCTCTTATACTTCTATTTGTTGGACACTCTCAGCATGTTAAGAGGATTAATTCAGATTTATTTTGTTTCCATGTACTCAAAGGATGAGTATAGATCTAGGGTTTTTTTTTTAATTCCTTGCCCCTTGATAATGAGTTATGTTTTGTTTTTTGTTTTTTTTGGCTTCACATAATGAGTTCAGTTGTTTTTTCTTCCTGTCCACACATAATGAGTTCAGTTTTTGGGGGATTTTTTTTGGTCCTCGCATAATAAGTTAAGTTTTGTTTTGTTTTTTCTTCCTCACATAATTAGTTAAGTTTTTTGGGGGGGTTTTCAATGTCACATAATTAGTTAAGTTTTGTTTGTTTTTCCGTCCTCACATAATGAGTGAAGTTTATTTGTTTCCCTGTCCACACAAAATGAGTTGAGTTTTGTTTCCCTGTCTTCAGATGATAAGTGTAGTTTGTCATGTGTTTTCCCTGTCCTCAGAGGATGAGCTGAAGAAGGCCATGGCCAAGCAATCGGAAAGTCGTCTGCTGATCCCATGTCTGCTGCTTGGGCTGGGTCTGCTGCTGGTGGTGGCCGGCGTGACCTTCTTCTTTGTCCTTGACCCTTTCATACGGTCGCAGGTTGAGAAGGTGACGACATGTTATTGCATTATTTAGTTCTCTTACTTTTTCTTCCTCTATATACTCTCACTGAATCTTAAAAGCTGGTTGATACCAAATTTTTTATGTAAAGACAAGCACATTCGCATATATAAGACGATTCTGTAGTGCTGTATAAAAAGCAGGAAGGATAGATGAATGAAATAGAGTAGTAGTAGTAAAGATGTAGTTTTTGGTGGTTGGCAGGTGCTCTGACATGGTTTGCTCTTTCTTCCCTGTCAAACATTTGTTATCCTTGTCTCCCTTCCTTCTGTCATTTGCATATTATTCTCTAGTGACATCTCTCATTTTTGGCACTAAATGACTTTTTTGTATCGCAAGTGACATGAAACTCTTACTAAAACAAATGTGATGTCTACAAATGGCATCCTTCAACCATAGCAGTCACAGTCTCTTTATCCCTCATTTCAGTTGATTTTCTGATGGTTGGTTTTTGCCACCAGAATGTGTAACACAGTGTCCCTGGCTTTTTCGGATGGCTGTGCAACATTCTCACTGGTGGTTTAAACTGTGTAGTTGAAAGTGGATACTGTAGATACCAACTAATAAAAAGTGGAGAAAAGGAAACGAAGAAGAGAAAAAGGAAAAGAGTGAGAAATAGCTGGAATGAAAGTGATCTTCTGACTCTGGGGCTTTATGTGAGACAGAGAGTGATGGAGATCTGTGGATGGTGACATGGTTTGTCCTTGCTGCATCTTTGTAATAATAATAATGATAATAATAATATTAACCCTTCCAACCCCAAGCGCGTATATTTTCAGCAGCGCTTTTACCTTCCTCCGTCCCAAGAGCGTATATTTTCAGTTTCGGGGGTTACCGAATTCGCGCATTTTTCGAAATTAGCGAACTTGATTCAACTTTAATTTTCTTATTACTTGTTCATTTATCTTTAAAAA